AGTCTTGTGTGCCACGATTTTGTAATTAATTTAATTGTTTGCAAAAGTTCATTGTTTGTTTGTTCTGTAATTGAAAAGCTATTCTTGGGTGTGGTTATTGTATTTAATTAATTATTTATACAATTATTATCATAGAAACCTCTTCTTTATTAATTCAAACCTTTAAAGGCTATTATCAAAGGGAATCTGACTCACCCTGACCCACAAACTGAAAGTCAAATATGGGTCATCTGACTGACCAAGTTTACCCTTTAACAACATTACTTTTCTCTTTTTTCGAGACCTTTAAATGTCAATGTAGTTGTGTAGCAACAATTGCCCTCATCTCCTGCTCTTATTTCCTTGGAATTTGGCAGCTGTCCTGACATTGTTGCCAAACCAGTCAGTAAGTGCGCTAACAACAACTTTCGGCCAAATCATGGGCTGCTCATTTGTCAGCAGAGCAAGGAATATCAGGATTCTGAAAAGAGGAGGAGAGGCGCCATCATAATGGTTCCTAAAACTCCTCGAGAACCAGCAGAAACTTCTACGAAACCTCAGGCAAACTTTTTAAGCCAACAAACCCAGTCCGGTTAGGAACAAAGTTTTAAAATGAGAGTTGCTTTTGTTTTCGGCTTCCGTTTCCGGTCGCGTGCATGCAAAATAATGACAAATCGCCAACTGAATTGTGGCTCAAGTACGTGTCTGTGGCCAGGCAAACCGTCTCCCAGTCCCAGTCCATGCTCCTCCATTCCTTGGCAGAAATTCAAGTTATGACATTTAAAGGGTTCACATGTGTTTCAGGCGCATCACGTATTATCGACATGTTAACAAGGCACACTGAAATATGCATAGCCCCTGGGTCCGACACAATAGATTCATAGTTTGTGGTTTTATCTCTTGAAAAAGGAAGAGAAAATCAAAGAAAGTGATACTACGTTAAGAGCAGAACCGATTTCTAAGGCTTAAGCTATGTAGGTCCCCTAACCACAAGAATATACAATGCCCAGCACTAAAAAATTATTTTTCCGCTCGACTGCACCGCAGCGGTTTTCATATTTCCCGGGGAAAATGGCAAAGTTCAGAAGTAATAAATATATAAATAAAGGAGGGGAAATCCCAAGGAGTTGCCAAAAAGGACATTGCGAAATATTCGAATTATTAATTCAGTGGAAATATAAAATAAATACCTGTCGCGGCTACAAAACAAAGGGGAGATAAGATTTGATAAGAGCCATGGCGCAGAGCTGACATAATAATGTCAGAACAAAAGTATTCGCTAGCATTTTTGCTGGGAAATTGTGAAATTGCGTGAAAATTGTCTTGTCAGTGGCAGCTGCCGGCATCTGCGAATAGATTAAAAAATATCAAAAGCAGCAGCAAACACAGACAGAGGGAGCGAGCAAACAGACTAGGCACTTGGCACTTTGGCACATTGCTTACTCTACTTTCGGGCGGCTACAGGTGGACGGGCAGCTATCCGGAAGACTCCCCCTCCCGCGGGCGATTACATATTCCAGCGGAAGAGGAGTTGTCACTGTCACATCACATCATTTGCATATTTGCAGTCGATGGGTCGGTGTTGTGCTTATATCACGCATACGCAGCGTTGGCTTCAATGCCCAATGCAATCGATGCCCTGCAGGCCGTCCTGCTCCTCGATTTCCATTCTTAGTCCTTCCGCATGCCGCATAGCCTGGCGACAATAAAGCTTTATGTGAGACGGGGGCAGCTGTCGTCAATCAAAGGATACTTCTCAGCTCTCAGTTCTCCGCTCTCCGCCGCCGGCTTGTTTGGCTTTGTAATTTATTTGCCATGCTCGAGATTTCACTTAAAGTGGGTAAAAACCGCACGATTTGGGGCCATGACATATGATAAGGGGAAATCGACCTAATTTTCCCGTCCTCGCTGGGCAGCATCAGTAAAGTTTGAAGATGAAATGGAGGGAAAGACCTAAAAGTTAATTAACATGTGACGGCAGGCAGTTTAGGCTTAAGTTGTATAGTTTAAGCTATTGTTAAACTTGAGTTTGTATCTACATAAGTTCTTTGGTTAATTTTTTCTTTCAAAAGTAACAAATTTATTTGATATTTATTTGGTGTCTGAACTAAATAAAACTTAAGGTTTACAGTATTTTTTAGCTTTATATGTAAGTAGCATTGAAGGTAATGTAAAATCGTGTCGAATGCCCAGTTATACAGTGTAATATACATGTCAAGTGAAAGGTAAAATGTAGGTAATCTTGGGAGTATTCCGCCTGGGGTCGCCACTGTATTTATTTTTACTACAATAATATGTAAGACTTAAAGACTAAATTTGATCATTAGACCTAAAACCCTTTTTTATACCTTTGTGGGATATTACAATTTTAGTCAGAAGCTTAAAAAGTTGTGAAGGAGTCGTTTCCGACCCTCTAAACCGTATAAATCCTTGATCAGCATCAACAGGCGAATCTATCTGGGCATGAAGGGAAAACATTTTTTTTTGCCAATTTTTTCAAATTTTTATAAGGGGTTACATCGTTAAAATTGTCAAAAATGTGAATTTTTTTACATTTTAAATGAAGTATGCAGATTTATTAGCCTACTAAAAACTAGCATGGGAAAGCTTTCCGAATCAAAATTAATGCTTTTTTGGTTAAGTTATGAGTTATAATAGAAAATTGAGGCAACTAATAAAACTGCAAGCTTTAATTTTAAAACTTCGGCTTGAAGAGATCAATTTCGGTTTGGTCTATTCTAAACTTATTCACCTGTTGAATTATTTAGTTATATTCTTGAAGAGTTATATAAGTTGTAAAAGAAGTTTACAAAGAAGTGAAACCAAAATATGAACCATTTCTTGATCAGCACTATTAGACTAAGCGATCTTATAAACTTTAAATTCGTGTTAATTTTATAGCTACTGTTTTTAGGGTAGCATTATTTTATCTTTGTTCATAATATGTAAATTATTTAAATTTGATATTGACGGAACCACTGATTCCACCAGCTCACATCTATTGCTCACTTCTTGGCCGTAATGCAGAAGACAACAGCTGCCGCGCGCTCACGCTTACCTGCGACTGTCTCTCGCTCTCTGCCGGAGCGGCTCTCGTCGGCACTTGTCTTGGCCAAAACGTGTTTTGGCCACAAGCTCGCTCGGGGCTTGGAAGTTCAGCTCGGTGCCATTCTTCAGTTCGTTTCGAATCGCGTCTAAGTTCGGTTGCTGCCGCCGGTCGCCGGATTTGAGTTTCTGCTTCTGTTGTCTCCGCTGGCCAAGTGAATGTCACTCGATTGCAGGCAAAACAATCCAATATCGTCCATTTCCAGTGGGTGAAGTGTAAGTGCGATCGCAGCTCTCGTTCGCTCTCTCCCCCGCTGATCGAGCGGAGCAAGTGCGTCCGCAGATTGGAGATTTGCTGCCAAGCGGGTTTGGTTTTCAATTTCGGTCTTCGCGATTTCAGTTTGTCTTTTTTTACGTATGCAAAGCGCGTACTTTTGCATTACCGTTGTCGCGTCGCGTCATAAAAAGTGACCACGCCCCCTCTAAAAAGAAACACACAAACGCCTCCCGCGATCTCCTAATCAATCGGTGATTACCTGTGGAAAATTTCACTTTGCGACGAAAGCTAGTTTTTGCATACACACGGGAAAAAAGCCAATACTTAATGTGCCAAAAAAATATATAAAAATATGAAATATTAACTATTATCAAGAGAAATCTTAGTTTCTTTAAAAACTGGAAAAATACCTTGCTAAAAACTAAAAACTAATCGAACCAAAATCTTTAAACTTTGTGAAATCGAAAAATACCTTAATCTGTGTTCAATTCAACCTACCGGACTTGCACTGGTTTTCCTAATAACCCTGACTATATAGCCATCCATTTACCACTATATATATAGCATTGAGATTCTTGAGTGTGGAATTAACATAAAGTTTTACCCCCCGGCTGGCCTCCAATTAGAAACTGCCATAAATGCATAAGAATTGTGCATTTGAAGTCCATTCATAAGACTTAATTAAGAATTATTAATTTTTTAATTGCCAGCACGCAAGCCAAGGTCATTGGCTGTTAGATAAAATGCGATATTTTTTCAGAAGTTTTCCCTCTCTTGCAAATAAATAGAAATTACAGACACAAACTAATCAAAGACGTAAAAAAATCACATAAATAATTGCAAGAAACAAAAAGAGAGATATAAAAAACCAAAAGACAAACAGAAAAAGCAAACCTCCAGCCAAGATATATTATATATGCTTTCGTGTTTATATAGCAAAGACAGAGATTCAAGGTGAATGTTGCCATTATTTTTTGACAGAGAGCTCGAGAGCAACAAGTGAAAATTTATTGAGAGGTTGTTCGCGTGCTGGACAAGTGGAAAAAGAGAAGGAGATGCCAGAAATCAACGCCAATAAAATACCATTAAGTAAAACATTAATTTAAAAAGCAAAATAAATAAACAGGGTCTAATTTGGTTAATGAGAAATAACAATAATAAATAACACAGTCTAGACAACTCAAGAGGGGGGAGTCCCTGATTACTTTTGAATTTGTAGTTTTACCTGAATTTTTGAATGCAACTTCTAATGAGAGAGATATTGCAGAGGCATGAGATAATCTTTTCAGTTCTTTAGATCTTTAAAACCCAGAGAACTTAGCCTACTCACACACAATTCTAGTTAGCCATCATACGCACCGTTGGCGTTTTAGCCTTGAACTTTTCCATGAAGGCACACATCGTCGCAGAAAAGGCAACAAAGAGAAAGAAATCCACATTATTATTAATTGTATTTTAACGGTAACCTAAAGCAAGCTGTTTGTTTGGCCATGTTTTGAATAACTTCCAGAAAGAAACCCGTCCGACAGCAATTTCTTGCTCTTGACTTGAAATTCGCCAGCCAAGCCATCAATAAAAAATATATAAAAATAAGAAACCACAACAAAATGCAAATACTGGACAACAAATAATTTAACGATAATTTACAAAACGCTCCAGGTAAAAACAAAAACAACAAAAATTAATAAGAAAGCAGTCGTCAAAAAAAAAAACAACGAAAATTGCAAATTACAAAATAAGGCTTTTCGGTTAGTAACGAAAATGTCTGGCAGAGTGAAGCTGCCTTTGGGCAGCCGCAGCTTCTTTTTCATCGTCACCAGCTGCTGCCTCATCTTCATCGCCAGCGCACAAGGTAAGTGAGTTTTACATATGGTCTTTATTTCGTATCTCTCTTTTATTTTACGATGTTTATGCACCGCAAGACAAAAAGCTTAATTTAAGTCATATTCTGCGGGCCCAGATTTTCGGATTCCGACCGTCAGAAAACCCCCAAAAAGATCTCTGTCTGAATCACTTCGCGCTAATTTATCTCTCTTTAAGCCGTGGGATCGCTGTCGGTGTCGGTGTCTCTTACAAGCCGGAACTCTCTGAAGGTCTTCGGAGTCTCGGTAGTCTCTGAATCAAAAGAACGACGACAGTAAATGCGTGTTCAAAATTAAAATCTCCAAATTAAAATTTGTCACAATCAACGAAACGGATGCTCAGTAATAATAAAGCCCGAAGAAAAACAAAAACGCGTTGAAAACTTCCGGACAGAAAAAGCCAACTAACTGTCAACCAATTCGCAGTTCAACCAATACAGGTAACTCTTTACCGGCTTTATCCAAGTGTCAGTCACAAATTTGGTTGCACCTGCAGTTGATTTTAATGCCCTCGGGGGGCACTCGGCTTTTTGAGTGGCAAATGTTGTCGGTTTTGGCCATTTTTGGTAACCTTTAATGGCTGCACGGGGAGAAAATACTTCAAATTTAAGATAACCTGTTTTTTGAGGCTCAAATTCCATAGTGCTATAATTTTATTTTATTTTCCTCTGATTTATCACAATATAAACATTTTAATAGCTTTTGTCATATCGGAATCATGTTTTTCTCATAAAAATATTATCTTTAAAACTTGATTTTATATTTTCCTCTGGTTATATCCGGTTACGAATCAATGCATATTTGTTTTGTGTGTTCTTTTGCATTGAAATGACTTTATATTTTGTGTTAAAATGTCAGCAAGTGTCAATAAAGAATTTTTTAGCTGGAATTCCCGGTTAAATATTGGGTTAACTGTTGGAAAGTTTGAAGAGAATCGATTGTAAAAGGGTTCTTGGCACAGATTTGTGTGGGGAACCCGGTTTACAAGAGTTCTTAACACAGATTTTTGTAAGGAGCTCATATGGAGAGATTTCCTCTCCAGAAAACAAGTGCTTTTAAGGTTCAAATCCGTGTCATTGAACTGATGATGAGTGTCACGTAAACTTGACATAATATTTACACAATTACAACGTATCTCCGAATTAATCAGCAGACAGTGAATATATCCAACAAAAGGCTGATATAAAAACAAAGTAAACAAAACAAATTAAAACTAAATCTGTTGCATAAGCCATCAATAGACAGACACACAACCTTTCTACTGTCCAGTGGATGCGCAGCCCGAGACCAAATATTTGTGGGGACCTTATAAAAAGCGCGAGCGAGGAAAGACAAAGCAGCGTTAATAAAATTAACTTGCTAATGAAGCGATGATCACACCACAGCATTTCTATGGGCTACGGACACCCATGACATATACACATATGTATAAACATATTGACTTAAATCATTTCGGAGCAGCCAAAGAAACAGAAATCAAGAAATACAACTTATAAAAACACAAGCTGGGCAGCATTTTTTGTATGCAGAAACATTTTTGTCGCGCGTGTTTCGGCCAAAAAGCAGCAAAAGCAAACAGGCAGAATGGGAAAACAAGTTTCCAGAGTCTCTTGGCGGTCCACTATGCAAATGAAACACTAAATACTGAAGCTATACACATGTCTCTCTGATATTTTGTAATATCCCGCGATGAAAACGAAAGTGGAGTGACTTTGAAAAGCGCTCTTCGAACGAAAGCCCCAAAGCCCCTAAGACCCTTCCAGCAGCTGGCTGCCCTTGTTGTCGTCGGGTTTCACTTTTTTATTTTTTATTCCGTCATGTAGCGAGCTGTTAACTCTATCGAATTAAAATAAATTCGCCGCCACACTGCCTCCTCGTTGTGCAGAAAGAAAGTGAAAGAAATGTAAGAGTGCGAGTGCGAGTACGCGCATGCGCACATGGCGGCGGAGTTGCGGCACAAGTTTTGAGCTCGAAATCATAACACGGTAATGACAACAGGTTGGCTGACTTTTACAGTACTGCTTCTATAATTTGAACTTGCTTGCCTACATTTTTAAGAACCTGAAAGTGCAGTCATTGGCCTTGTATACCTCAAGAAAACCTAAAATATGTGTATTCTAGGTTTATTAATTCGTTAGTTTAATATGCTAGTTTTTTTGGTAAAGCAAAGTTTTTCAAATACCATAACTAAGCCGAAAATGTATTGATTTCCATTCGGAAAGCTATGCTTGTTTTTATTAGGTTAAAAAATCTGCATACTGAGTTTTAAAATTTAAAAAATTAAATGTTTTGGTCAAATTTGGACAATTTTAACGATGTTATCCCTTATAAAATTTTTGAAAAATTGGAAAATTTTTATTTTTTACCAGACATAGCTAGATCGACTCGGCTTTTGATGCTGATCAATAACATATATGTTTTATAGGGTCGGAAATGATTCCTTCACTGCGTTTTAAACTTCTGACTGAAATTACAAGACCCTATAAGTGTATAAACTTAAATTTTTAATATATTCCCGCTTATAAAGTTACGACTGTAACTCGAATCTGATTTTGAGTCTCTGGTCCGAAACTCCTTACTTTTCTTCGAATTGTCACACAGCCTTAACTCTTGCCGACTGGCCGAACGTGACGCATTTCTTTGGGTTTCTTTCAATGAATAAATCCAAGTCTTTTGGCCAGAGATGCAGACTCTGTGGAAATAATTGCCAGCTAGGCTTACATACTCATGCAAATTGGCATTTCTGTGGCGCCGTAATGATGGGAAAGATGCCAATGACATTGTTGTTTGTCCATCCAAAGCGCTACACAGGAGGCATTGCTGCAGTGAAAAGCGAATTTACATGCGACTTTTGTGCGATTTTTGTGGCCTGAAAAGAAAAGCGCAGATTTTGCCAATGGCCAATTAAAATACATATTCGCATTTCCACAGCTCCGACAGCCGAAAGCATTATTTCCGCTCAGGTTAACTGCACTCGACTCAAAAACCAGTTTTTATTTTGTCAAAACAAAAAACAGGTGCAACAGCCCCTCGTGGCCAGCAGCGGCTTTTTATATAATGGTCAGCTTTAAAAAGGAGCAATTTCCCAAATAGTTAATAGGCATTGCTAACATACTTTGGCCAGTCCAGGTCCAAAAAGTTGTTGGTTTTGCGACAATTCAGCTGAGATCAAGTTCCTTGAATGTCTGCAAAGCGGCTAGAGCGTGTTCAATTTCATTATTTCCTTTAAAGGGGGCTATTTACACTTGTATATACTTTTTTTAGGATTCTAATATCGCTTAACTGCCTATTTTTAAATTACCTACTTTAAAATGTAATTTAACTAAAACGAGTTTTTTAAACTTAGATGCCGATTCTTTATGGGCTGCATTTTGCATTTCTTCTTTAATAATTAATCGAAAATTTGATTGCCCGCCAAAATCGATAACAAATGAGGAAATCTTAGCAGACGACGACACCTTTCCAAAATGCCTTATGTAAAGTTTGCAACAACAATAAGTTTTAAATTTATAACGTTACAAATTATCTTTTCCTTTTTACATTATAACAATTCATCACAAAATAATATAGAAGAAGCCCTTATATTAAGCTTTTCCTCGTGACACAGCTGATCACGACCAGCAAATGTGTCACGCGATCTACAGATGCATTTCTAACGGATCTCATTTTCGCGTAAGTTGGCAGCGCTGATCAAGCCGACCGCCATTACAGTTTTACTTCTTGTGCAACATTGAGTGAAAAATTTAATTGTAAGCCGAAATAATGTCCAGCGGGGGTATTTCAAAGAAAGCCGCTGACTCTGGAGGCCCAGGTGGCCAACCAAAGTCAAAGAAGCCCACAGCAAGTGGCGGGGCGATCGCCAGGAAGCCGACATCAAATGCCACGCCTTCTGTGAATCCAATGGCGCAGCCGGAGTTTCTTGTAGAAAAGATCACAGGAAAACGTTACTTGAACGGGCGTCCCCAGGTGCAGATCAAGTGGAAGGGCTATCCACCAGAGGAGAACACCTGGGAGCCCATAGAGAATATAGGCAACTGCATGGTGCTGCTCGGCGACTTCGAGGAGGAGCTTTTCAGGAGCAGGCAGCGTAAGAAGCTCCAAAAAAGGCTCAAAAAGAACAAGACGAGCAGCAGCGGTAGCAAGACGAGTGACGGAGAGCTGCCCGGTACTACGCAGGCCACAACGACTGGAAAACGTTCAGATGATGTCGATGCTCGCAAGGAACGCCAAGTGGAAATTGGCAAAGCAATGGGACCCAAGGCAAATTTAACAAATAGTGCCATAGGGAGCACACCAATGCCCAATACTAATTACAAAAAGAAATTCTTGCTATTGAGCGACTCCAGTGACGATGAGGCTACATTACAGCCATTACAACCAAAGTCTTCAACTCCAGATGCGTCGCCGTCATCCAACATCACTATTGATACAGAAATCATTCTAAGCGGATCCTCAGAACTCTCCGACTCGCAGTCCCTCAGCGAGTTGCCCATGTCAAAGGCCGTCAAGGGGCCGACGGCACTGAATTCACAAAAGCAGGTTCGCAAGGATGCAGCTTCGATAAAAACCAAGAAGTTTAAATGTAATGAGGATTCCATCGAAAAGACCATGATGAGCGTAAGAAAATAAAATACTTTTGCATTAATTAAAACTAAGAAAATTTAAAACAGATTCACAGCCAACCAATGGTTACGTCCGTTAGCCCGCAGACGAGCAGTCCTCAATGTTCCAAGCAGCTCGTAGAGAAGTCCCAAACTGATCAAACTCCAATAAGCTCAAAGAAGAACCTGAAGGTAAAGGATGACTCGGAGAACCCTTTTATGCCACTAAATACGCGTCACAACAAACCTTATTCGAATGCGGATGAATCTGATTGGAAAATGCCACTGCGGAAGACTCCTTTTGGCCTGGCTCGCGGTCTGGAGCTGGACAAAATAGTGCACAACTTTAAGGTGGCCGATAAACTCTTTCTGTTTGTCAACTGGAAGGGCCTTTCAGCGACCGATGTGGTGGCCTTGGATGAATTAAAGTTGGCGTATCCTGCCGAAGTAATACAGTACTTCGAAAACATGAAGCGGACCAGCGATGATCCCTCGACCTAAACATGTATCCAGTACACACGCCTGGTGAGTTGGCTGTCGGCCCTGTGCCCATAACCTTAAACGTAAGCTTCCGCTCCGCGCCAGATTCAGCTTCAGCTTCAGCTAGGTTTCTTCTTCATAACTACAGTTCGACGCTCGCAATATTTGAGCCATGAGCCATGAAAACTTCGCGTTGCCTTCGGGTCAAGATAAATGCCATCGAAAAGCGAAAAACAGAAACGAAAACGAAGCATCATCCGGTGGTTGGGAGAAGCAACAAGCTTTGGTTTTGTTTCCCTGTACGTGCACCTGCCAGTGGTATCTGCACTTTTCCGCCATCTCTTCTCGGTGGTAAATCATTCGATAATTTCGATGTTAGGCATATGACAAATTGCTTGCCTGTACTTATCTTGGCTGCACTAGGAACAGGGTTCTTAGGTAGATTTATGACTGTGCCATACAAGATTTATGAGAAATTCTTGCAATGGGGATATTTGGAGGGTAATGGGATGACTTTATAAGACTTAAATTGGCCCTCGTCTATCCGATCTCACTTATTCCCCAATTCCCTTATTCTGTAGATTTCTTGCTCGCGATCTCAGCCAGCTCAGAAATTATGTGGCTCCAGACTCTCGGTGTCTTGCGGTTTCCATTTGGCTTATCTGTCGCATCTGTTGACAGCCACAGCTCTGCTTTGAACTCGGCGACAGACCAAGCTATAGACCAGGCCAAAAACTCCCTCGCAAATGTTGTGGGCGTTTTTGAGAGGCTCCATGGTTCATTCAACTGCCGCGAAGACTGACGCAGAATAAAGTCAGCTAGTGTTGTTCCCAAATTGTGATTCTCTACAGATGCAAGGCGTTGTCTTTATGGCTTAACCTTCAGTCAGAAAAGCAAGTACTTGAGGTGACACGCACACCCCGCAGAGGCGAACACGAACACACCTTTATTGTGGGGCACACGCTGGACTAGCCAGCTAATGTGTCCATTTAGCAGGGGGCTTGCGCAACTCCAATGTCATTTGTAAGCTCTTTTAATGCCCGATGATTGCACTTCTTAGCAATTTGCACAGCAGATCATAAGTATGTTCCATGGATTTATGGCCCACTGCTGGATTTGCACTCAAATCCGTGTGCATAAAAATCATATCTTGTTTTACGGCTACTTAAATTAGTTGTTTAGGTGCCTGTAAATTGTTTTATTGTCGCTTACACAGCTAATTTAATTTTTTATATTTAAATGAATTTAAAGCGTTTTAAAACGTCCATTGTGAAGGTCGGACCGAGACTTGGAGCAGCCATTAAATGGCGGTAAATCTCTCTCTATCTCTCGGGGGGGAAACTTAAACAAAATGACCTACTTTGGATTAAATAGTGATCATTATACAGAGGCTTTGAATGTATTTAGTTAATATTCAAGAGCTCTACCTAAATCAGCTAAATGAAAAGAGATTTTCCTTAGATTTTAATTCCCCCACATTATTAAATATGTTTCTTTTGGCAGGCGAGGCGTGTTTGCAAACTGCTGTTTGCTGTTTACTCCCTTACTCTATTATTATTTTTCATTATTGCTGTGCAATTTACTCATGTTTTTACCTTCCTGATATTTCTAGGCTGCCTTCGACGTTCGACGTTCATTGATTTATGTGTGTGGCGGCTGTCTGTCCATGGCATTTGCTATGATTTCTTGAACATGTTTTTCCCTGGCTTTCGAGGAGTGGCAGCTAGCTGAAAGAAAAGGGAAATTCCAGCCGCCACAAGTTTAATAATCGTTTAATTAGTTGCCTTCATTAATTGCCTTGCCCCTAAAAGTATTCAAATTGCCTGTCATATGTCAAATCCATCCGCTGCTATTTAAATTTCCATCACTCTCGCTCCAGACACCGAATTTACATATGTATTTCCTGATTATGCAATTTGATTGTAAACCGAATTTGCATTTAATTTTCGGCTGCAGCAACAACACCAAAATATGTGATAATTTTCTCGCTCGTTTGACCATTTTTGGCCCGAGATGTAATTACGCCCAAGGCAGCAGCAGCAGCAACAGTACCACCAAGCGGCAACCAACATCCACACAGGCGGCAACCTCATTTATGACGCTTTGCATATGGAAAACAACAAATCAGAAAGAAACTGTAATCTGTGTGTGTGTGCTGCTTGTTGTTGTTGTAATGCAATTTGTTTAACGCTTCGTTTATTACCAAAAACAGGCAACAAGAAAACGCATTTCTTGGTGTTTCTGCGGCCAGCAGCAACATTTTCGGGTCGCGTAGGTTGCAATAGATACAGATACAAGCCAGTAGATACAATATTTTAATATACATCGTGTAGAGCTTTAGCTTTCTTTGCTTTTGCATTTTCCCTGCAATTTTCCTAGGCTCCTCTCGCTTGTTTATTTTTCTCTTTAGCTGCCCAAAGTGTGGGTGTGTGTTTTCCACCATTTGTGCTGGCTTATTTATGATTTTGTTTGACAGTTTAATATAGTATCTATTGGTTCGTTGGCACGAGTCACAGTTTGTTGGCATCTCTCTTGTGTGCTGCTGGGTGCCTCTGGGTTAGGGTTATTGGAACAGCAATTATATGTAGTTAAGGTGGCCCCTTGTGGCTGCAATTGCCGTAACAACAGCTGCCGGAGATGCGGTTAGATTGCCCAACGTTTGGCTAAGCCCAGTGTGGCGCTATATTGGCTTCCAAATGGCTGATAGGCTCCTCTATTACAAGATGCTGATTGATTGTTGATGGTTATTTATCATGTGGTTCAGACAAATCGTAATGGGGTGATATAAAACTTGTAAGCTGGCTGTTTAATTACCTAATTCATTGATAATCAGCAAGGGTACTGATACCACAAGCGTAAATATTAGGTATTGTTCTCAACGAGGCTTAAGATTAAGATTTGCTGATTAGTTTGAGCACGTTCTTGCATGTAAACAGTGTATTTTCTACTTTCTAATTGGTTCAAGTAGCTAACATTTATATTAATCTTGTCTTTCATACTCTTTTTTTCACTTTCTATATGCTAACACCTTCCATAGCCGCCTTAAGGCCACGTGTGACCTGAAAACTAGTTCAGTTTTTCACACAAAAGTGCATCCATACCCAAGCTTCAACGACCTTGCTTTGTTTTCTCTTAAGCTTTTATCTTCGTTTCGCTTTTATTTCGACCACGCCCCAAAGAACCTGCCCCAGCGAGCGGTCAGTCTTCCCTTGATGTTAATGTTAATTTCACGCCCGTTAAGATAATTAAATTTGCCTTTGTTTTGTTTATATTCTTTTATGTGTGCCTCTGTCTGCTCTTATTTTGCGTTTGTAGTGCAACAACATTTAAATTAGTTTATGTATCCACATAAAAGAGTGTGTTTTTCAAATCGTTTTTTCCCCTTTGTTTGCTTCTTTTCAGGTATGTACTAGCATGTTTGGCCAAAAGCCGAAATTCTCATCATTTATCATAAAAAAGACGAATAACGAACATGAAAACAACAAGACAAACTGCGGGCAACGGGAACCACTCACAAAGCGACTCGAAGTTCAGGGTCAACGTATTTTTATTGAGATCTTTAACTCAAAATGAAAGAATTAACTACTTTTTGTTTGCTTATATCTTTATCCTTATCTTGAATGGTTTGCGTTGTTTAAAAAATTACAGATTTTTTCAAAAAATAGTTTGCAGATTAACATGCATTGGATGCAAATGTCAACGTTATTTTATTGAGATCTTAAACTCAAGTTAAAAGAATTAACTACTTTTTGTGTGCTAATATAACGTCCTTATCTTGAATGTTTTGCGTTATTTGAAAAGTTACATTAATTATGAAAATATAGTTCGCAGAAGAAATTGAATTAGAAGCAAATTTCTATGTTTTGTATACGGGCAGTGGCCTGTACGTGTCAAGAAGAGTCAAAGGAAACTCGATATCAATTTAAAAATAAAATGTCAATCAAAAGCTTAAGAATTTATAAGCATAAAAACATTTGATACTTTGGACCAAGGGAACTCAAGCCCGAAGGTCGAACCAATTTCTTGTTAAATGAAAAAAACTATAAATATAAAATCAATACATCATTCTAGACCCCGCCAAAGTGAACTTCCATTGAATTTGTTGAATTACTTGCTTAAATGTCAGTGGGTTGTAAACCAAAATCGAACCTGGTCTCGGTCGCTCGGTCGGTAGCCTCAACTCGCAAAGTTGTTGACATTTTTGTTTGACTTTTTGAAATTATTTCCAGCATCGCCGCCCCACAAAATTCACTGCAATTACCTTGCATTGGTATTTCCTTTGTTGCTCTTTCGGGGTGTGTTCTGAGCGAACCAGGGAGAGACCCGTACTCCATTGATAAAAATGAGCTTTATATGTTAATTTTGGCAAAGTTTCAACTGCATTCTTTAAATTGAGGTTGTCTTGCTTGAAAAGTGGGTGGAATTGTGGGTATTTCAAAGGTTTGAGTCATTTGTAATGTAAGGAATTTATTAGGGAGGTGGGTTTTTAAGGAGGTTTGCATTGAAAACGTATTTTGTTGAAGGTATATTCTGAAGACACTGTAAAAGTAAGCCTAGGTTTTTCTAAGATTTCGATTTTGTATACCCTTGTCAGTCAAAAGCTTGTAACGATGTGAAGGAATCGTTTCCGACCCTATAAAACATATATATTCTTGATCAGCATCAACAGCCGAGACGATCTAGCCATGTCTGGGGGAAATAAAAATTTTTAATTTTTTTTAATTTTAAATTTTAAATGCAGTTTTATTAGCCTAATAAATACTAGCATAGGAATGGTTTCCGATTTGAAATTAATGTATTTTTGGCATAGTTATGAGTATTTTAAAGTTTCATTTTTCGAACAAATGGTCATATCAAAATATAGACAGTTTACAGTTGAATACCGTTGCATTTTTATAATATTTTGTAAATTTCTGGGCAACCAAAGAACTAAAAACCACTTCCTGGGTTTATTTCCCCATTTCCCCCATTACTTTCTTACCTATTTCTAGTTTCTTTCTGCCCGAGTATGTAACACTCTGCAATTTCTCATTAATCAACGACTCGTCTTACTCTTCTTCGTTTGCTTTGTGGGCTGCCTTTTGGCGTTTTCATATTGACTAGCTACACCTACGACTTCCGCAAGTTAAACAAAATGCGTTTACCTATTTCTAACATATACAAATACATATGTTTATATAAGTATTTGCTTTGCCTGGCGATGCTTGAGCCATGAGTCAGGCCAAGTCAAAGCAAAGTAAGGCAAGACAGCCAGTCCCGCCCATCGAAGTGCATTGAACGCATTTACTACTTCTCGCTGGCTGCCTCGCACTCGATTTTCCATGCACATTTTCGCTTTTCTTTTTAATTGGGATTTCTGGTGTCTGTTTTCAGCTCGCTCTCTGGCTCAAGCTCTGACTCTGACTCTGGCTCTGGCTCTGGCTCTGGCTTTTCCTCGACGCGGCACTCCGTTTTCCCTGCTTTTGCATTCGCTCCGTTTCGTTTCACTTTCGCGTCACCGACAAAACTAAGTTAACTTAACTTAACTTAACTTGTTGCAACTGTGCCAGTCGAGTCTCGCTCGGTTTTTATGGCTTCCAGCCTGGCCGGAGCAGGCCAAGCGGTGGTCACTTTGGTGGCGAACGGGCAGTCGAGCAGAACTGGCCAGGCGGAGGGCTTTTTGACAATTCGACGGCAGCCAGCCGGTAGGTCGCATAAATCACAAACAATAGGCGACCGACACTCGAATTAATATTTCTTTTCGTATTTTGGCGAAAAGAAAGCGTTGACACTAAACGGAAGTGTTCGCCAAAGGGGCGAAAGTCTTGGCAAATTGAGTGATTAGCACAAGGCACAAAGCCCAGAGCCAAAGGGGGAAGCAAAGCAAAGAGTTCAAAGAGTGGCTCTGGGTTTGTTATGCAACCCAAAGGGTGATCGAACAGGGCGATCAATAACACAGTCAGGCAGTTGAATGTCTACATATATCGGATTTCCCACCAACTGCATCGCACACACATGCCGCTCAATTAACCGCAGACTAATAACCAATCAATGGCGCCTCTGACCCCGCATAATAACCCAGTGATTCACGCCACCCAGTGACCCACACAGCCCGACCCAGTTGACTCAGCCAGACAGGGTAGACACCCGCGTACCAGGCTCTGTCTTAGGACTCCCGCTGGGAAGCTGGTTATGCTGATATTTATGTATCGTACATTTGTGCCGCATGTTTGGCTAATGGTTGCCAGAGTCAGTGACATAACAACGCGCCAATATTTGGAGTCGCAGGCCAGGTGTCTGGTCTTGTCCATTCTTTGAATTGAACTTTGAACGAGTGAGCTTGCCCTGCCCTACCCTGCCCTGCCCTGCTCTGGTCTGCGCATAGCCAATGGAGTGTGGATAAATGGCTTAAATCCTTGACCCATTTGGTGCGTTCTCTCTTGGCCATCGAGCCAGTCTTTGGGCATTTCCGCTCTGTGTGTTGCAAAGTGCAAAATGAAACTCAACTCGACTCCGGCCTGGGCTCAATTTGCAGTCATTAAAAACCTTTTCGAGCCGAAAATTACATACCTTAAATGGCGGTGGAGAAAGAGAAATAATATTTTGTAGGCGAGATATTCAAGGTGTATTTGTTGCGGTTTTTGTTGTTTCTTTTTTAATTTTTTGCCATGATTACGTTTCTTAGCTATTTTTGTCATTTTTCCGCTGTTAAACGAGCTCCGGCAAAGGGGTTATTTAATGGGGTTAAGCTGCCCATTAACCCATTTTGGTTAGGGGGGAAATGTGATTGTTTGTTGAAGGAAGGAAATCAAAATAAAGAGATTATGTAAGGTTGTGGGGGGTGGATTTATGGGAGTTTATTAATTGAATGTTTATTAGGTAAACTAACTAACTATTCAGAGAAGGAAATATTTTACTAGGGAAATCGAGGATTATTATGTCCATTACTTAAACTCATCAGTTAAATAAAAAACAATAACATGTTCCATCTGTCGGTTTGCCTTATCTCCTCGTCGCTATGCCTGCTTTGCGCGGATATGCGACAAGGAAAACAAGTTTGTGTCTTAAGTCTTTCGTTTCCTTTGTGGCCTTTTGTAACAGAAAATTATGGTCCAGCTACTGGCAGCCTCCTCTTGAATAGCGGGGCACGACGAAACCAGTAATAAAGGTATGCAGTTATCCTTGAGATTACGGTTCATCAGGCAGGGCTCCTCTATAGACCACTCTCCCAGATATACATTATATGTGTGTCGGAGGAGCTGCAGTCCCCACTGAGTGCTCAATGGAGGCGGCCTTTTAAGCAGGAAATGATGCCCAAAAGCAGCACCAACAAAGCTGCCAATTTGGCTGCAACAACAAACAAATGAAACGAAATGAAATGAAGCGACATACGAAGAAGCGGCCGCTTAACGAGCGGCAGGCATAAAATATGCCCTTTTGTGCCGCAGACATTGGCTGATCGCCTGATTGCGGATTTGCAGTCCGGCCTGCATTTTTAATAAAAATGTCAAGCCATTGGAGCTCCGAGTTGGTGTGTAAGCAACAATGAATTGGCAATTTGCAAAGAAGCTGCTCCTTCGCTCAGTATTTCGGATATCGGCGCGTTGGCGTTGCCTGGCACTCTTGAAGTGCCACTCAACTTAGGGATATAACTGGATAACCCTTGATTGACGGTGGCTGGCCACCTGACGGACCCAACTCAAGTGTTATTTGCCTTAATAACACTAGAGAACTGCAGGTCCCAATGATGGTTCATTGAACTCTGGCCAATTTCCTAACCGTACTCAGCTCCAATCACTTGGGCACCCACTGAGCTTTGACTGGGATTTACTTCTGTGGCTTCCCTGATAGCTGGACACGCCCGATTTGAAGTGGCACCCGCACCCGGTGCAGACCCTTAACAAAGTGTAGAAGAGAATATGCAAATGCGGAGGCAGAACAAAAGCCAAGCTATAAGCTAGGGAGGAATCACAGAAACCTTGTTGTTCACACAATAAATCACGACAACCAGAACAGCTTTGGCTATAGCTCTGGCTATATAGCCACACAACAATAGACAGCCTGGCCGACAAAACTAAGCCAAGATTGTTTTGCTGTTGACCATTTTGTCGTTGAAGCGTGCGGCAAAAAGCTGTGTTGTGTCTGTCTTTTGTTTGGCCATTCTTTATTATTATTCGCCACAGTCCAAAGGAAAACAAAACAAACACTGAAAACCAGCAAAGAGCTGAGCAAAATTATGCGGAAAATTACAATGCATAGAAATTTGTGCCGTTTGAGAGACAGATCTAATCGTGAATTATGTATTTCTGGGTGTAGGCTAAGGTTACACAATCAACTTTAGATGGGAGACATTTAGAGAGTCAGAGGAAAGGTATCAAAATTAAATAGATTTTGGTATAGGATTATTTTAAGTTTTAGACTGTAAAATCTAATATACTATATTCTATAGCTAATTCTTTCCCGTATTGACAGATTTTACATGATTTAATTTCCTGAATTGTTTCACCAGAACTTGTGATTGATACTCCACTTTCGACCACTCCTACTTCTACTTAAGAATAATACGCAACCAATCCCTTTTTACAAACAACTACTATAAATTCCTTCAGCCTTTCGCATTTTAATGGCAACAACTCTGTTAGTATTTCGAAGTTATAAAGGCATTGCGCCACTTGGTGGCAGACACAGAGATGCGAATGGAGTGAGACCAGACCCCAGATTCAGATAGGGAGCTAGGAAAAACAGTTCTATTACTTAATATGCAACACTAATGCGAACAATGGCAGCACGACATCGTGGCACAGGAAAAACCGAACGAAGCTCCGAAAACCACCAGAAACCCACAAAAACCAGGGGCCCAACAGACACACGATCCTCCGGTTACCCAGTCTCGACGGTCTCCAGACATTCAATCAACACCAGCACCACGACTTGGCTTAAAAAAGAGCTCAGAGCCAACTTAGAAAGGCAGCTCGCATTGGGAACTGTATATAGAAAAATAACTGGGAAAATAAATACATGTGGAAGGAGGCGAACCCAAGGCGGTCAAGAGTTTTTCACACCTAAGTTCAACTTTGCCACACATTCTAC